AATCCAAAGCCAGGAGCCAGGTGCTTCCTCCTGGTCTCCCACTGGGTGCAGGGGCCCAAGCACTTGGGCCATCCTCCACTGCCTTCCCCGAGCCACAGCAGAGAGCTGGACTGGAAGAGGAGCAACCGGGACTAGAACCGGTGCCCATATGGGATACCGGCGCCACAGGTGGAGGATTAACTAAGTGAGCCACCCTCTGATTTTTCCTAAGGGTGCTGCAAATCCTGAATTTATTTCCTCTCCTGCGGTGTGCTTACTCCTGTCTTCACATATCTAACCATCTGCATTCTTAGCTTACTGGGGGCTTCCCTGCAGAACTCTCTGGAAGCACCAGTAGCACCTGTAATTATTTCTTCTGTTTGTTTACTGCTTATGCTTACTTCCTTTCATTGTGCTTATTAGTGGTTAATTATCTTATTTATTATCTTCCTTCACTGGAATATAAACTTTATTGTCTCCCTACTGCAAAGTAAGTATGCATTAAATATTTGTTGAATATTTGCAAAAGGCTAAGTTATATAATGAATTTTTTCCAATTTTTATCTAGAATTTTCTATTTTCCATGAACTTTACTTTTACCTACCGGAAAAAATGGTAAAGGACTTGGAGTCATTTGTCTTACGTGAGACTTTTTTCTCTGTCTTTTCTGTAAGTAATAATATTCCCTAAGATTCAGTCTCCCAAGTTAGATGGCAGTGCCTAATTTAATAGAAAGGTTTATATATTTAAAAGGCAGAGTTACCAGGGTGGGTCAGAGGAGGGAAAGTAACAGAGGTCTTCCAACTGCTGGTTCATTCCCCAAGTGGCTGGAATGGTTGGAGGTGGGCCAGGCTGAAGCCAGAAGCCAGGAGCTTCTTCCAGGTCTCCTACATGAGTGCAGGGGCCCAGACACCTTGTTCATCTTCCGCTGCTTTCCCAGGCACATTTGCAGGGAGCTGGATCAGAAGTGGAGCAGCCAGGACTCAGCCAACACCCTACAGGATGCTGGTGCTGCAGGTGGCGATTTTACTGCAGCACCACTGCGCCCTGCCTGGTTTTTCTCAAGCAGAAGACTTGTTTCTCATTGTCCATATCTCTTCATGAGTAATTCTGCAGACTCAGACTGCTTAAAATGTCCTTTATACAATGTTGATTGCGTTTATAGTGTCCTTTTTTACTCAGCAAATGCTTTTATGTTGATTCTACCATTTAGAGTAATAGAAAAGCTTCTGATGCTTATTGTTATTATTGCATACTACAGATTATGACTTCTGGTGTATAACAAAGCACCAGTAAGACCTGTATTGAGAAATAGTGTAGGAATATCAGCTGTCAGCATTCACAAACAAAATACTAACCTCTTTGTCTTCAGTAGCACATGCCATAGATCCGGGCACACTGTAGGTTCTTATTAAATATTAGATTGAAGGGCCGGCACTGTGGCATAGCAGGTAAAACCACTGCCTGCAGTACTGACATCCCATATGAGCACCGGTTCAAGACCAGCTGCTCCACTTCTGATTCAGTTCTCTGCTATGGCCTGGGAAAGCAGTAGAAGATGGCCCACATGGGAGACATGAAAGAAGCTCCTGGCTCCTGGCTTTGGAGTGGCTCAGCTCTGGTTGTTGTGGCCATCTGGGGAGTGAACCAGCAGATGGATTCTGTCTCTCTCTCTGCCTCTCCTTCTCTCTGATTTTCAAGTAAAATAAATAAATATTTTAAAAATATTAGATTGAAAAACCTAATAAAACTGAAAAAGAGTCAGAGTGGAGCAGTCCATGTTTATTTTCTTAATTTCTTTAATACATCCAATCTCAAATACAGCCCACTCTTAAATCTTTAGTCACCTGCAATAAAAAGGAAAAAAATCTTTATTTGGAATTATTTCCTATCATAGCATTTGTTCTTGTACACAAGTTGGATTTATTTTTCAAAAGCTTTTATTTAATAAATGCAAATTTCATTGAAACAACTTTAGGAGTATATCGGTTCTTCCCCCCATACCCACCCACCCCCCTCTCCTGTCTCACCTCCTACTCCCTCTCTCATTCCATTCTTCATTCAGATTTTTTTTTTATTTGACAGATTTATAGACAGAGTCAAAGAGAAAGGTCTTCCTTCTGTTGGTTCACCCCCCAAATGGCCACCACTGGCGGCTGGTGCTGCACCAATCCAAAGCCAGGAGCCAGGTGTTTTTCCTGGTTTCCCATGCAGGTGCAGGGGCCCAAGCACTTGGGCCATCCTCCACTGCACTCCTGGGCCACAGCAGAGAACTGGACTGGAAGAGGAGCAACCGGGACTAGAACCGGCGCCCATATGGGATGCCTGTGGCGTAGGTGGAGGATTCACCAACTGAACCATGGTGCCAGCCCCTAAGATTGGTTTTTAATTAACTTTATATACAGAAGACCATCTCTATACTAAGTAAAGATTTCAACAGTTTGTACCCACATACACACACACACACACACACACAACATATAAAGTACCATTTGAGAACAAGTTTTGCAGTTAATTCTCATGGTACAACTCATTAAGGACAGAGGTCCTACAGGGGGATAAGTGCACAGTGACTCCTGTTGTTAATTTAACAATTAACACTCTAAATTTATGATGTCTGTGATTACCTGAGGCTCTTGCCAGTGAGCTGCCAAGGCTGTGGAAGCCTTTTGAGTCCACAAACTCCATCAGTAGTTAGACAAGCCATAATCAAAGTGGAAGTTCTCTCCTCCCTTCAGAGAAAAGTACCTCCTCCTTTGATGGCCCTTTCTTTGCACTGGGGTCTCACTCACAGAGATCCTTCATGTAGGACATTTTTTTTGCTACAGTGTCTTGACTTTCCATGTCTGAAATGCTGTCCTGGGCTTTTCAGCCACATCTGAATGCCTTAAAGGCTGATTCTGAGGCCAGAGTGATGTTAGGGCATTTGTCTTTCTATGAGTGTGCTGTGTGGCCTGCTTCCCATGCTGGAACATTCTCTCCTGTCTGATTCTATCTACTGTTATTAGCAGACAGTTGGTTTTATTTATGTGATCCCTTTGACAGTTAATCTTATCCATATGATCTATTACACAGTTAATATGTTCACTTTGGGGCCCTTTGGAGGGCTCACAGTGTCTTCCTTATTTGGGGTTTTCCCTTTGTTTTTTGGCATTTCTGGTTGCTCTTGTCTTTAATTTGTGTCTGTGCTTGTGGTGAGCTTTCCCTCTGCTATGAGCTGCTATGTGGGTGTGCCTGGGGAGTGGAAGCAGGCAGCCCCACCTCCTGGAGTCCTGCTCACTTCTAGGTCTTGATGGAGGCTGGTAGGAGAGAGCTGTCCACTAAGCCCCGCCTCCTGGGGGGCCGGGCTCGCTTCCCACTAGTGCATGAAATGAGGCGAGTTTTCGATGTTTAGGACTTTTGCTTGTGGTATAGCTTTTGTGGTGGGGAGAAAATTATGTTGAAATGTTGTGATCCTTGTTCCCGGGTGGGGGTGCTGTGAGGTGGCCCCGGAGTTGATGGGTGTGTGCACGGGAGGCAAATGCCGCAGCCCCTGCTTGCATGAGAAAATGTGAAGTGTGGCTTCTCCCCGCTGGCTGCAGGTCCAGCTGGGGGACGCGGGGAGACGTAGATGGACGGGGCGTGCCTGACCTCTCGGTTTGTTACCCTGTACCTTCTCCTTCTCCGCGCTGGGAGCTTAGATGCTTTCAGCAGGCTCCCGGCCTGCCGCTGTGTGCAGCCCCGTGGACGCAGGGTTTCTCACCTGGATCCCGCCGGGGCAGCGCCAGTCTCCCTGTGTGACATCTCACCCTGCCTCGCTGCGCCTCCACTGTGCCTCTGCCACTTCCCTTTCTGTTTGCTCCCTCAGCGAGTAACTGCCCAGTCTCTGCTGCACCCCTGGGCTTCTCTGCACAAATTTCTCGGGACTCCATCGCCAGCTTGCATTCCCCTCTCCTTATTAACTGTTTTGCCTGCGCAGTGTGGAACGACCTGTTGCTATATTGCCATCCTGGCCCCTCTAAGCCCTCAAGTTGGATTTAACATAGAATTATTGTTGCTGAATTAGCAGGAGCCTTCTACGTTATCTAATCGATGGTTCAGTTTTCACCTAATTCACCTTAACTCTTACTTTCTTACTTAGCTACATATTTCTATCTATAATACTCTTCTTTAGAAATTTTATAGTTGTTTTAATATACTTAGGATTTTGAGAAATATCTTACAATATTGTCAGAACTACTTGATTTGATGCTGTTTTTTTGTTTTTTGTTTTTTTTTTTTGTTTTTTTTTTTTTTTTTTTTTTTTTTTTTTTTTGACAGAGTGGACAGTGTGAGAGAGAGACAGAGAGAAAGGTCTTCCTTTGCCGTTGGTTCACCCTCCAATGGCTGCCACGGCCGGTGCACTGTGCTGATCCAAAGGCAGGAGCCAGGTGCTTCTCCTGGTCTCCCATGGGGTGCAGGGCCCAAGCACTTGGGCCATCCTCCACTGCCCTCCCGGGCCACAGCAGAGAGCTGGCCTGGAAGAGGGGCAACCGGGACAGAATCCGGCACCCCGACCGGGACTAGAACCCGGGGTGCTGGCACCGCAAGGTGGAGGATTTAGCCTAGTGAGCCACGGTGCCGGCTTGATTTGATGCTTTTAACACCAGGGACAATTTTTTTCTATGTGGTTTCCAAAGTTTCTGACTGAATAGACCATCAGTCATATACAGTGGTTGTCTATGTTATTTTTTGCTAGACTTTATTACAGAAGACATGATGGAAGTTGGTCATATTTTGTTTTATTAATATAATATTAAACTGAACCACATATTCAGTTTTCATGTTGAAATAAAAACTGAGTATAGGTTATATTCAGTAAGCCATTAGAAGGACATATTAGACAAATTTCCATGCAAAGAAATTTTATTAAATACAGAAAATGAAAATTTAGTGTAGGTATGTGTTTGTAGCTGTTCAGTATGTTAAGAATTTAACTTCCAATGTTTACAGAGGAAGATGATCTGTGTTTTTCTTGCTAAGTGTTTTTATTTATTCTTAAGTCCAGGAAATGGAAATCTCGTCACTGAAAGATCAGCTTTAATTACGGGTGAAGAACGTGGTTGCATGAATGAGAGAAGACAGTCACATTTAATTGCTGAAAAACAGTCTGTACAACATACTTGGGGAAAAAATGGAAAAGAGCTGTCACCTTTTCTTGGAGTTGTGAACCAGCCAGCTCCTGTTCTTCTGTCAGAGAACTGTGACCCTTTCGTTAGTCAGAATATGATCAATTTATTAAGCATAGATCAACAAAAGATGAGTGAAATGTTTGGCAAGTGCAGGCATGATGGTGTGGGAGATACCTGTGTCATTGCTGGGTCTGATCAGAATCCATCCGCTGATAGAGGCATTAGAAGCATTTTTACAGTCCCAGAGTTGCCTTTGAGTAAGTCTACTTTTCATAAGACAAGCTATCCAGAAAAGGGTCAGGCACGTGAACACTTCTGGAAGGAGTACAGTGATAATAGAGTAAGTGATCTTTGTATGCCATTTGAGAAGAATTGTTACCCACCCAGCTCTGAAAAACAAGGTTAGTGTTATGCATGGGAAATGCAAGATTCTATGCTTTTAAAACTAGTTTTCAGCTTTTTATATGTGTTTTTATGTGTACTCATACTACATACTCTATTTGTGTGTATTATTCAGAGAAATGTGAAACTGAAAATAGAGTAACTTTCCAGTTTTTGGCATGATTTTTTTCTGTATGTGTCATGTGCTTGAATTAAAAATGAAATCAGACTGTGCTTTTATTTTTGAAGGAAAACTTGGAAATGATTGCCAAGGGAAGATGCCACAGAAAAGTATCCAGAGACATGCAGAGAACTCTGTGTAAGGTTTCAGGTGTATATTTGGGATGGAATTCAATATCTAGCATAACACTAGGGTATTTCAAATAGTTTGTGCAAAAATGAATTAAAATATGTTAATTTTGGTGTACCAATTTTTGAAATTCATCATTTTTTAATATCATTTTTCTGTGAATCCTGAAAATCCCCCAAATATATGGATTTCAGAAATGTTTTGTAGTGAAATAAGCTTATCTTTAAATTCCATTTTCTGAACTTTTTATAATACTCTAATACTTGCTGGAGGTTGGCTTGATACAAAGTGAGGGAGGCATGTTGATCTCTGGGGTGGGCAGCCTGATCTCCGAGAAGCCGCTGTCAGAGTCTTGGTATCATCGTCCTGGTTGGAAGTTTGGCACTCAGGTCTGCTGACCCTCAGGCATCTTCTCTGAATATTCATGAATGGTAGTTTGAGGAAATTGACTCACATGTTCAGGAAGCACAAATTCCTCCCAGAATGTCATTTTTTGAGTTTATAGTAAGAAATAGAAGTAAGTAGGAGTGATACTTGGCAAGAGAAGCATACTGTGGCTTTCTGCTGTTGCTGTCTTCTGTGCAGCTCTTGGGTTGGGCATTGCTTGATTGCATAAAATTAGAGAAGAAAGTAGTAGACTTCAGTATCAGTGCCACAGTGAGCAGAGCAGCTGTCTTTTATGGCATTAGTACCTGCAAATGAACTACAACAGATTCATAACTCAATCCTTAAATTAACAAATTGGATTTTTTGTTGTTAAATCTTTGGTTATCTGGAAACTTCAATGAAAAGAGTGTGTCAGACCTTGAACTTTAAAATGTACATTATGAAAGTGATTTATAACATGGTTCTTCAACCTGGCTACAGAGCCAGAGTATTTGAGGGGGTGGTGAATTAAAAAAGTTTTTTAATTTATTGGATGCGCAGAGATCCCATCTGCTGATTGACTTCTTGCAAAGCCTGCAGCAGCCAGGGCTGGGCCCGCCTGAAGCCAATAGTCCAAACTCTGTTGGCTTCTCACACGTGACTATCAGATTCCTGACTATTTGGGCCATCACCTGCTCCTTCCAGGGTGTGCATTGACAGGAGGCTGGAATCAGAAATGGAGTTGGCACTTGAATCCAGGCCGTCCAATGTGGAATGTGGGCATCCCAAATGACCTCTTAGCCACTATATTCAGTGCCCACCTGAGCATGTGGTTTTAAACTACAAAACACTGAGTTTGTAATAGATCGTTTCCTTGGCATGCAGCTTAGGAATTTTGTTTTTAAGAACCTCTGCATATAATTCTGATCTGAAGTCAAATTTTAGAACCATTGTTTTCAGAAGGCATACAGCACACTTTCAGGCTGTCTTATTTGGTGCCTGGTGTTACAGCACAGGGGGTTACGCCACTGCCTGCAATACCAGCATCCCATGTGGGTACTGCACTGAGGTCCTGGGTATTCCACGTCTGACCCAGCCCACGCTGATGTGCCTGGGAAGCTAGAGGGAGACGGCCCGAGTGTTCGGGCCCCTGTCACCCCTGTTGGAGACCTGGTTGAAGCTCCTGTCCTTGGCCTGTCCCAACCCTGGCTGTTGCGGGTGCTTGGGATCTGAACCAGCAGATGGAAGATGTGTTTCTCTCTTCATCTCTTCCTTTGTCTTTGTAATTCTTCTATTCAAAGAAAAATAAGATCTTTCTTTATAAACCTGTCTTCTTTATAATTCTTAGGAGGAAGATTCCTTTGGAAGAATTGCCCTCTGAGCAGCCAAGGGACTTTCAGCATAGTCAGGTAAAGCGCATTATTCTGTGTCATTCCAGCTGTGTCAATTTGTATCGTTATTTTAATATTTACATCATACTTTGATGTAAGGTGAGCTTTCGTTCATAAATTTCTTCTTAGGTGGAATTCTGTCCTTATATTTTTTTTTATACTGGAAGCATTACACCTTAGGTCTAGAAATAAAACACCTTTTCAGAAACTGTTATGTGCTTTATATGATGTAATTATTTAGACATCACATGGAGCTTTATACATTTTTTTAAAAGATTTATCCATTTAAGTATTTGAAAGAGTTACACAGAGAAGGAGAGGCAGAGAGGGAGAGAGAGAGGTCTTCCATCCTCTGGTTCACTCCCCAAATGGCCACAACAGCCAGAGCTGCGCTATTCTGAAGCCAGGAGCCAGGAGCTTCCTCCAGGTCTCCCACGTAGGTGCAGGGGCCCAAGGACCTGGGCCATCTTGCACTGCTTTCCGAGACCACAGCAGAGAGCTGGATTGGGAGCAGAGCAGCCAGTACCCAAACCGGTGCCCACATGGGATGCCGGCACTGCAGGCAGAGGCCTTACCTGCTAGACTGCAGCACCAGCCCCAATATATATGTTCTGATTCACAAAAGTCTGATCCTGATGTATAGAGAGGTTAAATAAGCTGTTCAGGGTCACACACTTGAGCCAGAATTCGCACATCTGTCATATCTGATTTTTCAACTGTATAGTTTTCTTTTTTTCTTCAGTAAATGTTGAAGAGCACATATTGTGACTGTTAATTGGACATTCCTTAGATGTCTCATTTATAATAGATTTTGGTGATAAAATGTTGAAAAACCAGGGTCTTTGTTCTCATGAAGGTTACATTCTGTTAAGCATTAGGCCATGAAGTACAGAGATTTAAGGACCTGGAAGCTATCTTTAAGAAACTCTTGTTGGGGTTGGCTTTGTGATGTAGTGGGAAGAGCTTGCTTCCTTGTTGCCGGAATCTCATCTGGGCACTGCTTTGTGTCCCGGTTGCTCCATTTCTGACCCACCTCCCTGCTAGTGGCCTAGGAAAGCAGCAGAAGGTGGCCCAAGTTCTTGGGCCCCTGCCAGCATGTAGGGGACCTGGAAAAATCTCCTGGCTGTGGCCTGGTTCTGCCCTGGTTATTGTGGCCGCCTGGTGAGTGCACCAACATTTGGAAGATATCTCTCCCTCTCTCTCTGTCTCTCTCTTTCTCTATAACTCTTTGAAAATAAATAAATTTTAAGAAACCAACCTCCCTCCCTCCCTGCCTCTTCCTTCCTCTCCCTCCCTCCCTCCCTCCCCTTCCTCTCTTCCTTCCCCTCTGTCCCTCCCTCCCTCCCTCTCCCTTCCCCCCTCTCCCTTCCCCTCTCTCCTTCTCTCCCTCCCTCCCTCCCTTCTTTCCTCTCTTCCTTCCCCTCTCTCCCTCCCTCCCTTCCTCCCTCCCTTCTTTCCTCTCTTCCTTCCCCTCTCCCCCTCCCTCCCTCCCTCTCCCTTCCCCTCTCTCCCTCCCTCCCTCCCTCCCTCTCCCTTCCCTTCCCTCTCTCTCCCTTCCCCTCCCTCTCTCCCTCTCTCCCCCCTTCCCTCCCTCCCTCCCTCCCTCTCTCCCTTCCATCCCTCTGCCTTTAAAATAAGTAAATCTTAAAAAAAAGGAATTTCATTCTTTCAGTGGCTGAGTACTATTCCATTTCATACATATACTACATTATCCTTATCCATTCACCTGATGATGGACACCTTGGTTGATTCCATATTTTTGGCATTGTGAACAGTGCTGTTATAAAACATAGTGGAGCATGTATCTCTGATACAGTGTGTTCATGTTTTGTTAGTGTATCCAGTATTGAGATTGCTGGATCATTTGGCGATTTTAAATGAAATCTGCATGCTGTTTTCTGCAGACAGCTGCACTAACTTTCATTCCTATCAACTGTGTAAGAGTTCCCTGTTGGGCCAGTGCTGTGGAGTAGCAGGTACAGCTGCTGCCTGCAGTGCCAGCATCCCACATGGGCGCCAGTTCAAGTCCTGGCTGCTCCACTTCCAATCCAGCTCTCTGCTGTGGCCTGGGAAAGCAGTGGAAGATGGCCCAAGCCCTTGGCTCCTGCACCCCATGAGACAACTGGAAGAAGTTCCTGGCTTGTGGCTTTGGATCAGCCCAGCTCTGGCCATTGTGGCCATTTGGGGAGTGAACTAGTGATTTCTGTCTCTGTGTGTCTGCCTCTCTGTAGCTCTGCCTTTAAAATAAATAAACAAACTTAAAAAAAAAAAAAAAAAAAGCTCCCTGTTCCCCACATCCTCACCGTCAGTTGTTGCTCTCTCAGTTGGACAGCAGCCATTCTGTCAGGGGTGAGGTGATAGCTCCTTGTGTCACTGTGGTTTTGATTTGCATCATTTCCCTGAAGGTTAGTGATGCTGAACATTTATTTATTTATTTTTTGGCCATTTGAATTTCTTTTTGTTTTTGAGAATTTTCTATTCAGATCTTTTGCCCAATTCTTGGCTTAATTCCTAACATTAGTTGTTGTTTGGTTTTTTTGCTTGTTTTCTTTTTCAGTTTTTTAGTTGCTGATACATTCTGGATATTAATCTGTTGTATAAGTAGCTTGCAAAATTTTTCTCCCGTTCTTTTGATGTCTCTTCACTGTGTTGACTCCTTTGCTGCACCGAAGCTTCTGAGTTGGGATTAACCTCAGTTGTTAGGTTTTTTGTTTGTTGTCTGTGCCTTACGGGTCTTGTCCAAGAAGTTGTCTCTTGCACCAATGTCTTTAAATGTTTGGCTTACATTTTCTTCTAGCATCTTCAAGCTCTCAGGTCTTAAATTTAGGTCTTTGAATCATCTTGAGTTGATAATTGTATGTGGTGCGAGATAGCCATCTAGTTTCATTCTTCTGTATACACACATTCAGTGTTGCCAGCACCGTTTATTGAAGAGACTCCTGTATGTATTCAGTGTATGGTCTGGGCGCTGTTGTCAAAAATCAGTTAGCTGTTTATGAGTGAATTAATTTCTGAGTTCTCCATTCTGTTCTGTTGATCTGTGTGTTTTGTCAGCACCCTATTTTTTTTTCTTTTCTTTTTTTTGACAGGCAGAGTGGACAGAGAGAGAGACAGAAAGGTCTTCCTTTTCCGTTGGCTCACCCACCGCTGCGGCTGGTGCACCATGCTGATCCGAAGGCAGGAGCCAGGTGCTTCCTCCTGGTCTCCCATGCGGGCGCAGGGCCCAAAGACTTGGGCCATCCTCCACTGCCTTCCCGGGCCACAGCAGAGAGCTGGCCTGGAAGAGGGGCAACCGGGACAGAATCTGGCACCCTGACCGGGACTAGAACCCGGTGTGCCGGCACCGCAGGCGGAGGATTAGCCTATTGAGCCGCGGCGCCGGCCGAGCACCCTATTATTTTAATTACTATAGCTTTGTAGTATGCTTTGAAATCTGTTATTGCGATGCCTCCAACTTGATATTTTTTTTTCCTCTGTTGTTTGGCTGTTCTTGGTCTTTTGAGATTCTGTATGAGTTTATGATTGTCTTTTCTAATTCTGTAAAGAGTAGCATTGGCATTTTGATAGGGATTACATTTAATCTGTAGATTGTGTTAGGTTAATGGTATTCTGCAAGTTCATGAACAAGGAATATGTTTCCATTTTTTGGATGTGATTTCTTTCAGTGGTGGTTTTTTTTTTTTTTTTTTTTTTGCACGTTGATTTTGTAACCTATGACGACTGCATTGTTCTATTCATAGCTTTTTGGTGGGATGTTTAGGTTTTTATGTACAACATCATGTGACCCCCAAACATGGATATTGTGATTTCCTGTTTTCCAGTTTCGATGCCCTTTCTTCCTTTCTCCTCTCTAATGGCTCTTACTAGTAGTTCCAGAACTAAATTTACTAAAAGTGATGAAATAACACACCTTGTTCTGCTCCATATCTGAGGGAAATGCTTTCATGTTTAGATCATTTATTTGATATCTTTCTCCCTTTTTTTTTTTAATTTTTTTGACAGACAGAGTGGGCAGTGAGAGAGAGACAGAGAGAAAGGTCTTCCTTTGCTGTTGGTTCACCCTCCAATGGCTGCCACGGCCGGCGCACTGTGCTGATCCAAAGGCAGGAGCCAGGTACTTCTCCTGGTCTCCCATGGGGTGCAGGGCCCAAGCACTTGGGCCATCCTCCACTGCACTCCCTGGCCACAGCAGAGGGCTGGCCTGGAAGAGGGGCAACCGGGACAGAATCTGGCACCCCGACTGGGACTAGAACCTGGTGTGCCGGTGCCGCAAGGTGGAGGATTAGCCTACTGAGCCGCGGCGCCGGCTCTTTCTCTCTTTAGTATAAGAGTTGTTACGTACTTTCCTGTTAATACTGCTTTTGCTGTATCCCACAGGTTTTGATTTGTTGTATTTTCATTTCTTTCGTGGAAGTTTTTTATACTCTTTTTAATTTGTTCAGTGCTCCATTGATCATTAAATAGAATGTTGTTTAATTTCCATGTATTTCTCAATTTTCAGTTGTTCTTTCTGTTACTCCTTTGTGGTCTGAAAAGATAAGTTGTGTGCTTTGAATCTTTAAATTGAATGCAGCTTGATTTTGGCCTGATACACGGTCTCTTCTAGAGTGTATTTCTTTTGCTGGTGAGAAGAATGCGTGCTCTGTAGCTGCTGGATGGAATGTTCTGTCGGTGTCTGTCAGGTCCATTATCTCAAGAGTACGGTTAATTCTTACGTGTCTTTGCTGATACGTGGTCTCGATTGTCTTCCCATTGATGGCAGTGGGTTGTTGAAGTCACACACTATTATTGTTTTGGAGTGTCTCTTTGTCTTTAGGTCAGTAGTATTTGTTGTATATATCTGGTGGTCTTGTGTTGGGTACAAATATATATATTCTGTGTTCTTGCTGAATCAAACCTTTTATCATTCTATAATGCCCTTCTTTGTCTTTTTCACAGTCTGCTGCATCTGACAGGACTGCAGCTACTTAAGCTCATTTTTGGTTTCATTTTCTTGGTGTCCTTCACCTTCAGATGTG